TCCTACTTGATAGAGTAGGGTGCTATTACAATGACTGTTCAGTCCCTCTTTAAACACCTCCAACTATAGAAAACAGCTCATTCTGTTAAGTGTCGTCTCTTAATGTTAGCCAGAATCTTCTTTCTTGCATTTTTCAGCCATGCTTCCTGCATGAACAGGTCTTAAGTGCTTAATACCAACTAACATGTCTCCCATTAATTTTGTCTTGTGATAAATATGTAATATTCTGATTTTTTAAAATGTTTCCTTTCCTAACTCGTTTAACTTGTTGGCTGTCCTCCATTTCCTGAATGACACACAAGCAATACTGCCACCACCATAGAATCCAATGGAATTTTAATCCTATTCAGCAATTATTTAAAAAGTATGGTCTTCACCAGTTGGTTTATACTTCCAACCTTCCTAAATTGAGTGGAAGAGAGATTGAAAACTCTTTGTGGATTGGGGAGATCTAAATGCATTGCCTTCAGCCAAAATCAACCTGTCCAAAACAGACAGTTCAGGAAAGGATGTGCATGTTTCTTCACTTTATGACATTTTCCTATTATGACACTGTGCTACAGAGCACCCTTCACCCAGAAATTCAGTTAATATGAGAACATAATATTTTGGGAATATTTCCCTCTTTTTACAGTTTCCAGACTGAAAATTAATTGGGGGGGGTTCTATTTTTAATTGTGCTATGGACATTTTTTTAATCATGGATGTATGTATTTGTGTTACCAAACAACGTATGATTATGACTGTATAGAAAGTTAATATGCATTAGGGCGGAAACAACACACCGAGTGGATTTGTCTTCAGGGTTTTTGAAGTTATGCCAGGAACAAGTCTTAGTAGTAGTTTTTTTTTTGTGATCTAAACATACATATATTAATGATAATATATGAGAGTATGATCCATAGGTGCTTATAGTTGTAGGTAGTTAGGGGCTGTTTGCAGGCAAGACAAATGTACTATATACCAAAACTTGTGCAATATACAAACGGGCTCATTTACTGTACACACAAGATCATGGAAGCCAGGATATATATACTTCTTTATCATCTTAATATATATGTGATTGAGATGCTCAAAGTGAGTAAGAACCCCTGGAAACAGCATTTCTCAGTGTTCCTTAATTAATCCTCATTTGTTACCTGGCTACTGTCTCTAGGGAATATTAAAAATCCTATGAAGATGAAATACCAGATAACTAAATATAGTGTTCTCCCTTTTACCTATTTTCAAAAAACCCATCTTCAAAAAAGGAAGAAAACCAGACCCAGGAAACTTAAGCACCAATCAGCCTAACATCAATACCTGGGAAGGTACTGGAAAACATAATAATAAAAAATAGATCTGCCAACATCTAGAAATAAGTAAAGTAATGACTAGCAGCATGGATTTGTTAAAAATGGGTCATACCAAACCAATCTTATTTCATTCTTCAACATAGTGACTAAATTAGTAGACCAACAAAATACTGTGGACATAATATACTTAGTTTTCAGCAAGGGATTTGATAAAGTAGACCACAACCTACCTCTTAGTAAGCTAGAAAAAAGTGGAATAGATAGCACCACCACTAGATGGATTCGCAACTGGCTGGCAAACAGTACTCAATGAGTAGTCCTTAATGGGCCTAAGTCTACATGGAGGGAAGTAAGCAGTGGGGTGCTACAAGGTTCCATCTTAGGCCCAGAACTCTTCAATATCTTCATTAGTGACTTAGATGAGGGAATAGAAGGGGAACTTACCAAATTTGCAGATGATACTAAGCAGGCAGGAATAGCTAACACTCAAGAAGATAGGCTCAAGATCCAGATGGATCTTGACAAACTAGAACACTGGGCCATATCTAAAAAAATGAAATTCAGTGTAGAGAAAAGTAAAGTCCTATACTTAGGCAAGAAAAACCAAAAGTACACCTATAGACTAGGTGAAATTAGGCTTAATAGCAGTAACTGTGAGAGGGATCTTGGAGTCTGAGTAGACAACCAGCTAAATATGAGCAAGCAGTGTGCAGCAGCAGCAGCCACAAAGCTAATGCAATCCTAAATTGCATTAATAGAGGGATACAACCAAAATCAAGTGAGGTAAACCACTCTATAAATCCTTAGTAAGACCACACCTACAGTACTGCATCTAGTTTTGGTCACCACATTATAAAAAGATGTTGAGGCTCTAGAAAAGGTGCAGAGAAGAGCAACCAGGATGATCAGGGGACTAGAGACTAAAACGTGAAAAAGGGTTACAGGAACTGGGCATGGCTAGTCTTGTGAAGAGAAGGACCAGGGGAGACATGATAGCAGTGTTCCAATATTTGAGGGGCTGCCCAAGAGAGGAGACTGTCAAGTTACTTTCTAAGGCACCTGTAGGCCAGACAAGGAATAATGAGTGGAAAGAGATTTTAACCTGGAAATAAGGAGAAACTTTCTGACTGAGAACAATCAACCAATGGAACAGCTTGCCCTCGGAAGTTGTGGGAGTATCATCACTTTCAAGAAGAGATTGGACTACCCCTTGTCAGAAATGGTATAGTATCTCCTGCTGGGGGGGGAGTGTTGGATTAGATGACCTATAAGGTCCCTTCCAACCAATTATCTGTATCACTTAATGAATTCATTCAGTTAATCTTCACATTTATAGCTGTTTCAATGTCTTGCATTGTTTCTCTTTGCAGAAATCTACAGAAAACATACAGAATACACTAAAAGTTATAATAGCTTTATAAAGAAATCATCTGACTATATAGCTTCTGACTTTTCAGCTGCAGAAAGACACATCCATTTGTGTTACTACATTTGTTCTTCTCTTTCCCACATGCAAATAAGGAAGTTATTTGGGAAACAAATGTATAATGATCGTCATTTGATTCATTTCACAATAACCTTTTCTTTCAAAAACTGCTTTGAAACAATTCTTAAAAGTGATCTGGAAAGTCAAAGGAACTGCATTTCAAGGAAATATGATTTTTAAATAATTTATGTTGATAAGCATTATCATGACTGTATCAACTATGCCTACTAATACCTGTTTGACCAGATGTGGTGAAGTTGAAAAATACTGTAGCTATCACATATTGAATTTGCATTTTGTGTTATTTCACTTCATGCTATCCATTCCATCAATATGTGATGTGTGATGTTAGCTCACAATATACATAAGGGATAAGTTTTTGTTCATTTATTCATATTAATTCTAGGGCAAGTATCAGGTGTGTACCTATGGTACATACCTTTAATTCAGTGCTGACTCCTCATGCAGTTTTCTTGGCAAGTTTTTCATAAGCTCCTTGCCCTTGTCCCCTCCTCCCTAGAGCCCAAACTGACTGGCCCAAAGTGACCCAACCGGCTTTGTGTCCAAGGCAGAACTAGGATTCAAGGTCTTCTGGTTTCTTGATTGGAGCTTTAACCATTGCACCAAACTGGCTCTGGTGTATTGATTACAGCATTGAGCTGTTTACTCTTAGCAACCACCTAGATTTTTTTCCATGATGATCTGGTCTTTCAAATTTTCCAATGGTGCATTCATTGCCACTGTAACCGAGTCCATCCACCTTGCTGCTGGCTATGCTCTTCAATCCTTCTACATTTCCCAGCAGGAGAATTCTTATTACTTTCCTGTCTTCTATCTGTTGATATAGATCAGTCACAATAAACTTAACTCTTACCTTTTCCATTTATTTCAAATTAACTCCCTTGGGTACATGTTCTCCCTGAATCATAGCTTTGATATAGAACCTGGATGTTTTTGCATCTGAACTCTCAAGGATACTGTTAAGAATGCCCTGTTTCTCCTATCCAGGTATTATGAGGGATACTGTTTTTTTAACAATAAACGGAAGTTAAAATGTGATCTGTTATTCTGAAGCTAAATGCCTAGCAATACAGGATGTTCTTAAACCAGACAGGAAGATGCCAGAGAACCTCATCTACACTTCTTTTCAGTGCCAACTATTCCTGTGATAAGATCAAGCTAGTGCCTATTTAACTCTCTGTGAACCCTGTGTTGGGGCCCCCAACCCCTGGGCCACGGCCTATTGGGAACCGGGCTGCCCAAGCGGCAGGCAAGCATGTGAAGCTGCATTTGCGCATGTGCAGGACTTAGGTTACATGTGTGAAACCATTCCCCTCACACACAGTTGCTGCCAATCCACAGAACCAAAAAGTTTGGGGGACCCTGCAGTATATGATCTGCACTCTTGAAGACCTTGCTGGCTGGGAGCTCAATAACCACTATAGTTTTATAGTTTAATAAAGAAAACTGGTTTGGGCTTCTCCAGTTGCTTTTGTTTTATTCTTAAGGTTTTTGTCCCATCGAGATATATTGTGGAAGGATTACAAACCGCAGCCACAGTATAATTACATAACAGAATTACCCAGATCATGAAGAGCAACAATACAAGTTTCTCTTATCAATTAGGAAAGTTAATACAGAAGGAAGATAAAAGAGCTGTAGTTGAGAATAACATTCCAGAGAAGTCAAGTGTTACTTTGTGTAAGAATACCAGGCTTGTACTCATTTTTTTTTCAAGAAGAGAATTTGAGGGAATAACATTAAGTTCTTAATCTTGTCAGCTTATACTATACCAAACATATTTATATAAATGACATACCGGTATGTGGGAGGAAGCAGAGGAAAGATCTTACAACATACTTCTAGGTAATAAGAGGATGGATTGCACCAACTGCCTAAGCAATAAAACTCACCTGGGTGGTTATTTGATAAATTGCAGAGCTAATGGAGTCACTGGTCAAACCCAACATGACAATCCCTAAATCTGTCCAATATATAAATCCAAAGTAAACAACTCAAGGCATTTTAGATACCGATTTTACCCCAGCATTCTTCTGAAGCTCTCATTCTATCTCATTGTCACATTGAGAAAAGGCAAAGCAATCTGTTAAACCAGATCAACATCAAAATGTTGGAATTAAACTATTTCAAATTCCTCATAGAGTAAGGTGATTACAGCTATAAGCATATCTCAGCTACCAATAGGACACACTATATAATCAGGTCACAGGTTTGTGATCTTCAGGCACTACAACTTTAACAATACCCTCCATGACAAGTTTGCCACTTTGGACAACTGTACATGACACTGTAATATAAGCAAGACATCGCTTCAATTTCTTCACTTCTGCTGAAGCCAAGACTTCTTCTCCAACATATAAAGGAGATGGAAAATTAATTTCCTGAGAAAGGAAGATACAGCCAGGGCCAGGCATTTTCGTACCAAGGACAGCTGAAATAAGTCCATTGATCAAAACACCATGTACAACTGTTCTCCCAAACCTTGATTGCTTTGCATATTCTTCATCCAAGTGTATTGGGTTAGTATCCCCGGTTAATTCAGAAAAGGTAACAATATCCTTTGATGTGAATTTCTTAATTATTTCAGCTTTGTCTCCAACTTTTATGTGTAAAAGCTGAACACGGTGTTGAGTGAAGAATGGCATGGACATGCTTGGCTTTATGGAAAATATTCTCCCAAGTCTCACACAAAAAAATCTGCATTTGGGCAATGGCATCAGCATCATAGTGTTTTTACAAACCATAATCAACTGAATAATTAATCGAGCACCATTTCTCTGCTGTTCCCAGCTAACGCAAGAAGAAATGGAGAAGTCTAGAGAGAAAGGGGGAAAAATCAAATAGAAGCACAAAATCAATTCCTTTTGCATAAAAGAACATTCAGGCATTTTCAAGCAAATAAATGGCAGTTGATTAATTTCCTTGGAGACCAAATTTAATAACTGAAAGCCTAGGACAGGATGGTTAAGTGGCTGAACTCAAGCATTTCAAGTAGAATGAGTTGAAAGGAAATGATGCCATCAATAATGGTGGATTTTAAGAAATACAGTATAAGTTGCTAACAGCAGCAGGCTATTTGGATTCAGAGACGAACAAGCTGGGATGAAATTATTCTCCCCAAAAATAGTAATACAATAAGCAATCCACAGTAAAGCAGCAGACAGTAAACTAAACATACCTTTAGAAAAATATATTTATCCTGTTTCTTATGCACACAATTATCTGACTAGGTTAAAAAACTATTGAAAAAATATACATACACCCATACACAATGTAAGTCAACTCTAATACTTTAAGGAAAGCAGAGGATGAGAAGTGCATGTGAATATAATCTACAGGTTGCCCATCTTCAATATAAAATCTAAAAGTGCCAGAGCAATAATTTTACTGAATAAATAAAGCTTTCAACTGATTATTTCTCAATTCTTACCTGTATCACTCTAAAAGCACATTTTCTGTTCTGGTATGAACCAAGCAATGATAGAGCACTCCACAGTTTTACATGGCCACTGTATAAATAATAGCATTGGATATATTAATGGAAATGACTAATCAGTAGGCAAGTAAAATAAGTCATAAATATTTTATGGTAAATAACAGATAATCAGATTTGGAAGAAACCTTGTAGGTCATCTAGTCCAACCCCCTGCCCAAGCAGGAGATCCTACACCATTTCTGACAGATGGGAGTCCAATCTCTTCTTGAAAGTCTCAAGTGATGGCGCTCCCACAACTTCTGAGGGCAAGCTGTTCCATTGGTTTATTGTTCTCACTATCAGAAAGTTTCTCCTTATTTCCAGATTAAATCACTCCTTGTTCAGTTTCCATCCATTATTCCTTGACTGGCCTTCAGGTGCTTTAGTAAATTGCTTGGCCCCCTTCCTCTCTACGACAGCCCCAAATATTGTAACACTGCTATCATGTCTCCCCTGGTTCTTCTCTTCACTAGACTAGCCAAGCCCAGTTTCTGTAACTGTTTTTCATATGCCTTAGTCTCCAGTCCCCTAATCATCCTGGTTGCTCTTATCTGTTTTTTTTAGAGTCTCAACATATTTTTTTATAGTATAAATAGAATCAAGGTTCAATGAGCTGGAAACCATATCTATCCAGAAATCAGATCCAAATAAACTTGAGGCCAAATTTCCCAACACTTATGCTAAGATAACTGCTTTCCTGATAAAACAATTGCATTTAATGTAATTAAGGTGACCAATCATCCTCCTTTAGGGAGGACAGTCCTTTTGTAAGTTCTATCCTCTCTCAAAGTGTCTTCCTTTTCTGTAAATCTCTGTATTTGATCGATGCCGATCCGATCCGTTGTGTGTGATGTGACGTATTTGACATGACGATTCATCAAGGCTTGGTACAGTGCGGCGAGACACGATTATGAGACACATGCACTCTGCACAGGAGAATTGTTTTGAGAGTGCGGCGCATGCAAGAGTGCGGTGCACACAAGAGTGTGGTGCATGCAAGTGGCTTTGTTGTTTTTTTCTTCAATTTGTGTCATTGTAAAAAAGTTGGTCGCCTTAATGTAATCAACGGTAGTGAATATAGAGTCTGTCCATTTATATACAGCAGCTTGCCCTACCAGTATTAATGAGTGTGGCTTTCTCCTTGGTCATTTCTTAATTCGGTTATTGTTTTCTGCTTTATTGTTTGACTGGTGTCAATCCCTGTTTATCTGGATATAGGCTGCTGGAGAGGATGAGCAGAGTGCAACCATGAACAGCAACTAGTAGTCAAGAAGACACACAGAAATCTCCTTAATCTTACTTGAACAGATTCAACCAGTTTCAACTGGGAAATCCTAAACAACCCAGATCAAGCCAAACTCAAAAGCGCTAGAGAATTTCTGGAAACTAAGCCTTCAGACAAACCAGCCATCAGTGGACACATAAAGATAAGCCACATTTATAAACCATTCAAGAGACTATAAAAATACTAAGAAGGAAATAGAACACATCCTCCATCAACACTGGCAGGACAAGCTACTGTTTATAAACAGGGACCAAACACCACACTCACTATCCCTGATGATGTTAGCTAGTTAGGTAATGAAACATCTGCAAACAAACAATCAAGCTCAGAGAACACCAAGAACTCCACAAACCAGTGCTTCTCAAACTTAGCAACCTTAAGATGTGTGCACTTCAACTCCCAGAATTTCCCAGCCATCATGGAAGAAGTGTACACATCTTAAAGCTGCTAAGTTTGAAAAACAATGGTACAAGACTTATGATATTTTACTTGAATTTAAAAAGAATTATCTTCATTTTTATTATTATGCTAGAGACTATTCCTTTATCTAACCACATTTGCCAAGAAAACACATTCAAAATGTCTTACGCATTAGATACTCTAAGTATGGCAGTCAGTGTTTCTTCCTCGTATGTCAAAACATCAACAGGTAATGCAGCACCAACCTGAAAGGAAACATGTCACTATTACTAAGATGCACTTTAAAAGTCTCAGTCATTAAAAAAGCTCTCATAAGAAGTTCAATTCTATTCTACCACTACATTTAGTTTAATTTGATATAATTACAAATCTGTTATTTAAGGTAAGCTTCATAAAGAATGACCTGCAAGCTTGGTCAATATATTTCATTACAAGTCCAAACTTGTAGGATATAATGGAGAATAATGCACAAAATGAGATGATCTTGAATGTTTGTTTTCATCATTTTCATTTTTTAATCTACTTTTCTTGTACACATGAAAATCATCAAGGCCCCTTATATCTGGGAGAAACAGCTGGTATTTGTAATCAGAGGCATCGCCTGATCCTACCTTATTTAAAATGACTCTTTTGCTGCCAAAAACCATAAATGAGGTTTGGGAAGGGTTGTTTATCTCTTTAACTACAAATGACAGCAAGGAACAGGGCAGTAATGCAATATCATTAATAGAATTTAATTTTTTGTTGACTGGAGTATGTTTTCATTAAAACAGATGCACGGCCAATCAGCATTTGACATCTCTTACCCTTATTATTTTTCCCCATATAACAAAACATTGCTGTCATTTGATACTAGATTTTAATAATGAAGTTATGATGAAGCAGGAAACAGTGCCAGAGTGTAAAGAAACTGAGTGATCACTGTTTTAAAGGATATTAACTAATAGCAGATAAAGGCTGATATGCAAAGAACCACTTTATTAACAACCTGAATCCTAGCTCAGCATGGTATATAACTACAAACTGCAGTTAGTAAAAGTCTTCCTAAATACAGAGATTTCAATCAAACTACTTTTTACAGTCTTCAGTTCCAAATCATTCCCTTCTGTATATAAGGTAAATAAACCGGGAAGTTGCAAGGGATTCATAAATTATTACCTCAACAATAATTCAGACAAAAATGACATACCTCACCATGGAGCCGTTTCAAAGCAGAGATGATAAGTTGTTTGAAATCAACAGGATTTAAACTAATGCCAGCTTCTTCAAACTCCCTATAATTCATTTTTTGTAAAAAGGTTTATTAGTAAGTATAATATGCCTCAAACATGTTAAAGTTATGCAGAACTGAACAGAAATGGAATGGGAATATTTTAAAAAAGGGATTTGAACTTACAAATGGATCTTCAAATAACAGTATTCAGAAACATCATTCAGGACTATTTTTTCATAAGCAGTAGGCTTGATGCTTTTTTTTCCATCGTCAAATTCAGACATCGTAGGATGCCCGCTTCTAAAAGACAGAACAGCCCATTCTGACATATTGCCAAGTCTTAAGCTCAAAATCACAAACTCTTAATTATGATCAATTGTAACCTACACTTTAAAAATATATGCACTGGCAGGGAGGGGAAATGACTTATTTTTCATTTTATTGGTTCACTAGGCAATCTAAGCCAGGTTGCATAAATTTGTTAATAGTTATTCCCATACTGGCCATAGGCGAGTCCGAAGAAGCAAGTGTTGGAAAAAATAACCTTCTAGGTTCAGTTCCAAGTGGGGCAAAAGACACTGGATTCATGGAAGTTGCTTGGAAAGAAGGTTTAATGGTGGACAAGACCACATGTCTTGGAGCTCCTGAGCAAAGAAGGGAAGAGATGCTGTGAGTCCCTTGGTTTTATGCCCTCTCTAAGCTTTGAACTTCCTGGGGCACAGGAAGAGTATCCTGATTGGATGCTGACAGGGGTCATAGCTAGCTTTGTAGGTTGTATGTGTGCTAAATTTGGTTGAATCCTGCTGGGTGATGTAATCTTCCCAGGTGCCATGTGGTCAGATGGGTAATCTTATGTTCTAAGGACCATGTCTTAATTCCATCACCCTGGAGCTGAAGGGGGGAGGCAGGGAGCTGCTTTGTCTTTAAAGACATGTTTCTCCTTTTTCATCCAGGGAAATATAATATTCTACCTTTTTAATATTTCCTAGAATATTTCATTCTTCTTCTAGGAGAGGGGTGGGTGCTAACTTTCTACACAAGCTTAGAGACTTAGAAGAGTGAGTGTGTGTCCATAGCTTAATTGGTGTTTCAGATTCAGTCATGGGCATCTCTTCAATTAAAGTGATCTGGTGATACAATCTGTCTGATCCAGAACAAGAAGTATCTTAAGCTGTCAAGCTTAACAGAAGCTCACTTTTGCTTTACTGTAGCCTAAAATAATTTAAATGTCAATGCAAAAGATCGGATAAAAATGCAAGCTTGTAATTTTATGGGCCAGTCTATGGAGTGATAAATTAAAAGCAGTGTGATTTCAGGAAAGAGACTTGGCTCCTCAGAATGTTTCCACCTGGAATCTTGCTCTGCTAAAAAATCACTAAAATATCTTTACCCAAACTATTTTCTTTATTATTTCCCGTCAGTGATATGAATACTTTTTCACTACATCCAAACAATACATACAGTACACAATTTAAACACACAATTTTTACCTAGAAAGGTAGAGTAACAAAAATGTTTAAGTGTTACCACTAAAGGAGAGTATTTGTAGCCCAAAGTTGAAATGAGGTGCTCGCTGTCTTGGTTGTTTTCTTGCAGTCATTTCATTATCCAAACTAGGCAACATCATCAGTGCAAAGCAGAATATATCTCTAATGAGATGCCTTTCAGTGCATCATCCTACGTCATCCTACTCTCATCATCGTGGGCCAGTGGCATTGATGGGAGATGCATTGATAAGACATCGGGAAATGGAACTTAAGGACGTTAATGGAACTTTTTGAATTTTGCCTTGATCAGTTTTCTGCACATTATCCCCTAAGCAAAGCTCTGCGCCTCTCACAGCTTCTGCCTAAATGCAGGTCATTGAGCTGGGCCAAAACTGATGTTCAGATAAGCTTAAGTAAGTATGAAAGATGGCAGGGTGCATTTCTTCCTCCCAGTTGTAAAATCCGCCAGTCCCTCCCTTCTGTTAAAAATCATCGCTACTTACACCGAGACCTTACGAGCGCGGATCGCTCAACCTCACGCATCCCCAACATGTGGCCAAACGGAAGCATCAAGAAGACGGGCCTCCAAACGCATTAGCCAATCGCAGGCCGACATTTCTCTTTCTGACCAATGGGAGTGCTGGAGTGTATATTTAGCTTAGAAATCAGGTGCTATCTCTTTAAGGCATTGCCTGCTGGGAAATGTAGTTCTTTATCACGTGGTTACATCTTTACCTCTGATTGACCACTGGGTCAGTCTTCCGATTGGCTGAGGTATAATTTACAGATGGCTGCACGTTTCTCAATGTGGGGATGAAATCATTCTCTTTAAAAACCTGCATGACTAAGGTCAGATTATTGACGCCTTCAGAAGAATCTTCTTATAATGTGAGATATATCTACTAGGATGCCTGAAATAAATCTAATTTGGATTATATCTTTCATGTTGAGTTAAACTGTCTGTAAGGAGAAGTACGCAAGCAGAAGCAGAAACTTGGGAGCAGAATAGTAAAAAAAGATTGCAATAAATCCCTCTAATCGCAAGAAAAGAAAGGAGGGATCCGTTTGGGTGAAGCAAATAGTGACAGTTCTTACCCCCCTTCTCTCAGTATGCTTGAATTTGCTGCCTTGAACCAAGAACAAGCATGTTAATTACCTTGAGAAACTATATTTACAAGTGAAAGAAGCTGATTCAATCCTTTTGAATCTGCTTGGAAGATACAGGGAGGGGCCATTATCTCCGTCTATGGAACAAGGCAGGAAGAGGGTTAGTTTAGCAAACAGATGACTGCATCTTTTCTGGCTGTCCCTGTGACCGTTTAAATGTGGTAGGTCTAAGCAATTGTCCTCAGCTCTTTGCAGAACCATTCAGTTTGAAGTTACACTGATCCATTCCATTGGCTTAAAACAAAAAGAGAGAGAGAGAGAGAGAAGGGGGGGGGCATGAAAGGAACCTCTCCCTGGTTGCTTTGGAATTTATGACACAGGTCCCCATAGCAACCAGCCATAAATACCTCTGGCTGAGTTATCTAACTCTGCATGGACAAGCCAACCTGAGAAACCCCAGCCAAATTAGAGAGTCATTGTTGAGGCTCTCTTCTTTGACTCTTGTTTGGAAAATAAAAACATCTGAAAGAGTCGGGCCTTCGGAGTTTGCAAGCATTCAGTCCAAGCTGGGAACCCCAGAACTGGAAGTCAGCTCTGCAAGCCCTATCAAAGGGAAAATGCCAAAAGCCTAGTTTACTCCAAGCTTAGTCTGCAACGCACTGCAGTGGCTAAGTAGCTAATTGCAACGATGTCTCCTAAATTCAGCTACCAGCTTGCAACGTACTCCAGTAGCTTTGTGGTTTACTGCATCATTGGAATCTAATGTTGGGTTCCAATGGTGTTGGGCTGCATAAACTAATTTTGACAGTGTGTTCATTTAGATCAACATTCCTTAGTGTGGTATGGTAATTAGAGGCTCTCAAGAGTCTGCAAAATACAAATTATTTTCCAGTTATTTAAGACAATTGCAAAAAAGTCATTTTTATTTAGAATTTTCATGAAATATTTAATGAGTTCAATATTGTTTTTACATGAATGAAATCTACAAATGCATCAGTTTTAATTTTAAATGGTATTTTTTAAATGTTTAAACTGATAAATGTACAAACAAAAGTTATTTGGGCCTTTTTAAAAAAGGGAATGGAGCCTGCAAGCAAAACGTTTAAGAAACACCAATTTGGACTTTTGTAACTGTTCCTTCCTCTGCACCTGTCGGTATATTTTATTTGCTTGCAAAGGTAACTCTTATTTTTACAATGTTATTAGGCAAAGCATGACTATAGGAGAATGGATGATCTCCCCCAGCAGTTCCATATAGATCTCATGGCCCTGTTGGATCCCAGTTAGGAGCGGGGAGTTGGTATTGGAACCATCTGATGAAGGATGGCAAGTCTCCTCTACAACATCTGGGGAGTCCAGAGCTGGAGGACATTTTTGTCCCTGGCCCCTCTGGCATTGGGGGAAGTGGTCAACTGGACAGGGAACTGCCTGCCTTCACAAGCACAGGAGGATGGGCCACAGACAGGCAATGGAAATGAGTGACAACAGATCTCTGATGAAGAACAGCTGCCGCCTCCACCCCATCTCACTCCCCTGACTTTTTGGAAACCTTGACTTCTAGACTCAGACTCTTGTTTCGGCCTCTGGATTTGCATATCTTGCTTTATGGACTCTGACTCTGGCTTGTGGCTTATAGATCTTATTTTTTCAATTTCTGCATCAGGTTTGTGGACTTCGCCTTTCCTGTTTGGGGGCTTGTTTCTGGCAACTATTGGATTCAGTTGGTGGGTCTGTGTTACATTGACTGTGCGTGGCTGGTTGTTGGGCTTTCTTAATTCTATTGCTCAAGGTTCCTTGGCATTTTTGCAATGCTTCAATAAAAGCAAACAAAACCAGCACCTCAAGTCTGGTGTTCTTCATCGGCCTCGGAACCAGGCTCAGACCCAAATTGGGGACAACAATTTGGATTTGTTCAGTGTCCTCTTTTATGGGGTGCAGAGTCAAGATAGGATTATTTTAAGTCTCTTGAGTGAAAAGGAAGGCAGAGTTCCGTTTCTTGTCTTTTCCTTGGCCACGTTCTATGCAGAGATACAACTTTCTCTGGAGAAAGTACTCTTAAATATGGAAGGTTGAGGATAGGTCTAACATTGTTAAAAGCACTTGGGTTGAGAAGGCTTCCTGATCAGGGTGGACATGACAAACACCTGGTCCCCATTGAATTAGTACCTGCAATGTACATACAATCCACCAGGAGCCTCCTCTGCAAAGAGAAAGCAACATCCATGCGTTTCAGTACTGAACCACTGGAGGGCCACAGGTGGATTCCAGAGGAGAATGAGAAGGTAGTAATGTGCTTAATCTTGCCACTCTAGGACACTGCACTCTCTCTCTTTAACCCTTTGAGTTTCGTAGGAAGTAAAACTGGAGGAAAGCCTTGAAGGGAAGAGATCCGGCTGTGGTCCTGGGTGACTGATGGATGTTTTCCCATTCAAAGGGAGGTAGGAGATTCTCACGCTGTAGAAGTAAGAGATATATGCCCTCATGCAGGTTCAATCCTCTGAGTCCCAGGGATGGGGAGAGCCCAGATCCCATGCTCCCCTGGCCCCGCTTTCTATGCTTGTAAGGGGTGGGAAGGAGGGAGCAGACCTCCGGACAAGCTGTTTGCTTCCAGTTGTGTTGTCCCAGTAGTGGTATTCGACCGGTTCTGGAGAGCCGGTAGCGGTGATGAGCAGTGGAGACTGAACCAGTTCTCTTCGCTACCCTATGGTTGCCCCACCTGTCCTCCCGGGTTCCCATACTTACTTTTATGGCCAGAATTCAAAGCGCAGCTGCTTTGCGCGGTGCAGAACAGTGCCGCACGGCAGCTGCTGCAGCGACCACCATCGTGAAGGCTTGCAGGAGGCAAGTTAGAACGCCTCTGCAGCTGCACAAAGTGCGTGTTTGGCGCATGCATGCACGCAAAGTGTGTGCGTGTGCGCAAAACGTGGCCACTAAGCCACGCCCACCGGACCGGTGGCAACTTTATTTGAATACCACCACTGTGTTGTCCCCAGAAACAAATCCAGATTCCCAGGAAGGAGGAGGGTATCCCGGGGGAGGCAATCACGCCTCATTTCCTGGGAAAAGCTTGGTAGGAGGAGAGGGTGGAATTGCATGGCAAATCACAGGAATCAGGAACATCAGGAAAGAAGAAAAGCTTTACAAGGAAGGAGGTGCAGAAGATTGTGCCTGCATTCTTACTATGTGCTGGATGACACTGAAATAGGGTTTGGATCCTCTGCAACTCATTTTGTCATAGGAAGGTAAGGGAACCCAGGAAATCATCTCAATCTACGTTCCTTCAACCCTTGTGTTTCACACAAACTCACCACCTGCAGTTACTGTTTGGGCTTAAGGCACATTTTGTGAACCTGCCTGCCTATAATAATGTAATCTGACTCTTAAAAAGCAAACCCTGAAGAAAGGGAAATGTAACATTCTAAGCAAGACTCACTTAGCTGGATTTCATTTTATGTGAACTTTCATGGTTTGTTAATGTGTTCGGGGATTGGCATGTTGTGTGAACCCTGCCTGCAGGTATATAGATGTAGAATAACAGAGTTGGAAGGGACCTTGGAGGTCTTCTAGTCCAACCCCTTCTCAGGCCTGATGCCCTGTACCATTTCAGACAAATGGTTATCCAGTCTCTTCTTGACAACTTCCAGTGTTGGAGCATTTACAACTCCTGGAGGCAAGTTGTTCCACTGATTAATTGTTCTAACTGTCAGGAAATTTCTCCTTAGTTCTAAGTTGCTTCTCTCCTTGATTAGTTTCCACCCATTGCTTCTTGTCCTGCCCTCAGGTGCTTTGGAAAATAGCTTGACTCTCTCTTCTTTGTGGCAGCCTCTGAGATATTGGAACACTGCTATCATAGTCCTTCTTTTCATCAAACAAGACATACCCAGTTCTAGCAACCGTTCTTTATATGTTTTAGCCTCCAGTCCCTTAAAACTTCATTGTTGCTCTTTTCTGCGCTCTTTCTAGTGTATATATATTTCTTGGTTTTAAAAAGCAAGCCCTTCTTTGGGGGAGAAAGAAATAGGGAAAAAATGTACTGAAATGAATTTATTCAGTGCATTTCATCCCAATTTTTGCCGAGGGTCAATGCCATACACAACACACACACAATCACACACAAAAACTAACTGCTCAGTGCCACTGTAATCCTACACTAGCTCAGAAACACCCTTCCAGGAGTAGGATTATTCCTGAATGGTTAAATGCACCACTTTCTAATTCTTGGCATTTATTTGGTTTTCAGTCTCAGATACGTCAACTGGAAGCGATTTGTACAGCCTTTCATAGAGACAAAGTTCTCTTCAACGAAGAGGGCTGAATGGTTTGTTCTGGTTAGTCCTGAGGCTAGATGAATGCTCCAATGAATGGAAAAGCATTTGGAGATCCTCAAGATTCCTTCAACCTATTTGGAATTATATCATAGGAGAGAGAAAGATGGCAAGCCATCCTTTAGCAAATGAGAGAACTGGAAAAAACCCTTCTGGTGCTC